GGTTGGCCCCCCGGTGGCCATCCGGAAGCCGGCCATTCCCGCCATTCAGGGGCAGCACACACCTTAGAGAGGTCGTCGTTAGTCATTTCGCGTAGTCGTCTTTAGCAGTGGAAATGAACGATTCGGATTGATTTTTTAAAAAGTTTTTCTGATGTATTTTTGAAGCATTTTCGGCATGCAAAAACCTGGATTTTCGTAGCCTTTTCTACTCGCTTCTCTAGATTTTGAGCCGTTATAAATTTTGGGACAATAAATTTTTTGAAAATTTGCTAATTTTTTTGATAGTTTTGTACAGTAAGCCTTCTGATAGCGCTTTCTAATATTGTTTTCCATTTTTAAGCTTCAATTTCAAACAATTAGAACTTAATTCCGCAATTTAATTTTGATTTTTCCAAGCTCCAATTCAAGTTTCAGTTGTATTTAATGTGCTTGACGATGATTCTCAGTTCTGTCAATCCTGTAATGTCAAAACCAGCATAATTCGCGGGTTTTCACCCTCCATTCAAAACACACGACTTTTCAAAAGTTTTCAGCACCCAGCGACCCAAATTTATACCCCCGCCCAGGCGCCACGATTTTTCAACACGTTTTAGTGATTTGTTACCATCTTTTTTTTAGCCAAGCCTAGGCGTTGAGGCATCAAGCACACGGTGCAACGTTTCCCTTAGCTCCGTTCAGCATTGCGATGCTTATCCCCCACACATTTCCCTGGGGGCTAATTTTTAGGGGGCGGCTCGTCGGCACCCCGGGCGTGGCCCGTGAACGCCCCGAGCCCCGGGCCACGAGGCGCTGATTTTTAGACAAATCCTCTCCTTGTTTTGTGGCTTGGCAGATGTTGTTAGTTATTTTTAGAATATTTTTAGCTTAAAAATGTTGTATGATTTGCGTCTGTGAGTTGAACTGCTCGACCTCGTCGTTGTATGGCCGGTTGCTCAGCGAAAGCACACCAAAATTTCTAGTGTCAGCCTAAGTTCACCTAAGCCAAAGCCCAAGCTTGGGCCAAAAATTAGCTTAGGAAAGAGCTGACGCTAAGCCGGCGCCAAACCTAAAGACGAGCCCAAGCCGAAGCCAGGACGAAGTCTAGTCCGAAGCCAATGCCAAGGCCAAGCCTAAGCCTAAGCCAAGACGAAGCCTAGTCCCACACCTAGGCCTAAGCCTAAGCCTAAGCTCAAGTCTAGCCTGAATACACCTAACCGTTTTCTAGCTATTTGCTCTCTCTCTTTTTACCTGTTCTGACAAATCCCAGCTGACCATGCTTCGCCAAGCTCCAAAAATTTATCGGCTATACACTTTGCCATGGCTTGATGTGGGCCATTTGATGAGGCGGGCCCTCAACGCGTCCAAATGTTTTATCACAAATCACGATCACGGCCAGCCATGTTTCCCCATATTTCATGCGCGTTGTAAACCCGGGGCCCTGATCCGTGCCCCGTCAAAAAGCCACTGGTCCCCGGGTGTGTGCAGGGGCGTAGCCAGAAAAAAATTTCGGGGGGGGGGGCCCCCAAAAAATTTTTCCAAAAAACTCAAAACATTGCCGAAAAAACAGCGCCGCAGGCAAAAATTTTTGAAAAAAAGGTTCCATAGCTCTACAAACAGCCGTAAAAACGTGAAAAAATAGCGCCGCAGGCAGCAAAATTTTTGAGAAAATGAAAATCATAAGGGTCCCCCCTTATGAAATTTTCGGGCCCCGGCCGATTTCGGGGGGGGCCCCGGGCCCCCGGGGCCTGTATTACGCTACGTCCCTGGGTGTGTGTAGAAAATTTTCAACAAATCTTAGGGGCACGGAAAAGCGGCGGAAAAAGCCTCGGATGTGACAGCTGTTGGCTCGTAGCCCTGGGGAACAAACTGTGCGTATGTGCGATCCGGCGATCTTGCCTTTGTGTGGATTTGGCACACACTTGGCGTATAAACACCGTTTTTCGCAGTTTTGCTCGATAGAAAGTCGCATTTTCAAGGTTTTCCGTGAATTAATTCTACTTCCTTTCGCTACCTTTTTAATTTTAACCATTTAATAACAAAAACATAACCATTTAATTTTTTCAATTTAAATTTTTTTTTAACCTGAAAACCTTTTTAACCTTAAAACAAGAAAAAACCTTGAACCCTTTTTCTTGAATTCTTCGAGATATGTCAAAAAATTCTGCTGGGAAAAAATAAAGAATGGCGTCATAACGAGCCGTTCGTAGATTTTTATCGAAATTTCCTAAAAATTGCATAATTCAGAACTTATCTGCATAATTATTATTGTTTTGGATATGTACGTTTTGCCAAACGTGCTTGCCACTAGCTGTTGGCGCTTCAAACTGTGAAAAATATCTATCTATCTATTTATTAGCTATTTTTGAGCTATTTTTGAATCCTTGGTCATCCTGGTTGCCCTTGAGACAACAGCTGCGGCTCATTTACGATCCGCCCCTGGCGATCGAACGTGATTTATTTTTATTTTTGGGCGGAATCAATGCACTGTCTTTGTGCGCATGATCTTATCCTATTTTTGTTTCTTTAGAATCCAGAAAATCCAAAAAGAAAATATTGAGTAATCTCACGTTCTGTTCCGCTTCTTCTATAATCCTCACGCCCCCTAATTTTTTTGGTGAATATGAGCGTCTTCACACGCCTCTTTTCGATACCTTCTTATTACCCGGGGGGAGGAACGGGTGGCGTCTATTGGAGCGCGGCGGATCCAATTACGGTAGCCACCCTTTCGCTCTTTTTTCAGCTTCCAGACATCAGCGCTGTCGCCTGGAAAATCTGGCTGATCCCTGGGAAAGCAACTAGCAAAAACGAGAGGCTTAAATTTAAAACTATGCCTAGGCAGCACCAACGTTTAGGCTTAAGCCTAATCATAAGCCTAAGCTTAGCCCTAGATCCATAAGCTTGCCATTTCTTTGTCTTTGCTGGCCCTAGATTCCCGCAAAAATAGGCGTAAAATTGTAACGAGAATCCGGGATTGCCGTTTTCTGGGCCATTAGAAAGGTGAGAAGCTACGCGCTGCTCGGCTCGTGACTATCGTCATTGCCCCCCAAAAATTGAAACACGATCCGGATTTCGGGTGGCCCCAGGGCGTGATTTCGCACAGCCACTTTTACTGAAGTCATTGGACGTCTGGGCTCTCGCTAGATTTGTGACCTACGGTATTCTAAATTTTACGGTACTGCCTGAAATTCTGGATATTTGGACGCGACTGCGACGCATGAACATTAAGGTATAGTTTACCTTAAGTTGAGGTCTCCGTTGTCCAAAAAATGATGAATAACCGCAATTTTGACGTAATTTTCGTAAAGCAAAAATTTTCTCGAGGTGGAAAAATGTGCGCGCTTCATTTTTGCTAACATTTCGAAGTCAAAAACTATCAAAATCCTAGTGAAATCGGCAAAAAAAACCTTAAGTTCGATATAAATTTTTTGTTTTACGATATTTTGCTTAGAAAATTCGGTTGCATATAGCTTTTATGGGTTCGCATTGCTGGTAAATATTTGGTGCTGATCAGATGGATGACGGTCAAATGCCGAGGGGGGTTTTTGGGACACCCGTAGATACGGTAGTATACTGTAATCCATTCCTACCTGTTGATTCATCAACCCTCACCTTCCTTCCCATCTCCACCCTCTCAAAAAAGATCAACCAAAAACCGGCGGCTTTTAGCTGGGGGTTGCATGAGAAAGGAAAGAGCAACACGATGGTGTGGCCTTTTAATGGTGGTACGGCTACCGTAATCCGCCAATAGTCGTGCTTGCCCTATTCAAATTTTTCGGTTCTTTGAATTTTAATAAATGACTTCTAGTTTTAAAGACTTTTTCATATTCATTTGGCATTTTATGAAACAGCAGTTTCAAAAACTCATTTTGAAGCAAGTCCTAAACCAATAGCGAGTGATTTCCGCGTACCTAAAGTTTTGTTATTGTTTTTTTTTGCTTTGATTCATTCACTTAAGCATTTCCATTTCTAATGTAAGATTAAATTTAAAAAATTAAGACAATTTCGCAAGTTTTTTTAAAAGTAGACTTCGCCAAACTCTTGAAAAAGTTCAAAACCTGCCCCTCCCTTCCGAAAACAATAGCCACTTGTCGTTGTTGGCTTGTCGCCAACCATGCAGACCACCACCCTAGCCCCTTCAAACCCTGATGATTGACGATTTGAGGGAGGGCCGTTCCAGGCACTTTCGACGATTTTGTCACCCGAAAACAGCCCCGGGGATCCCATCGCCTACCCCTGCTGAACATGTCCCCTGGGGTCAGAAGCGGCTTCTCCCCCTCGAGTCGAACCTCCCAAAAAAACCTCAAAACCTCTATGGCACATGTTTTTTGGGCGGAGGGTTGCCGCGTCACAGGCCGACGTTTTGCGATGGGTCGCCTGGATGAATGCGGAAAAAAACGCTCGAAATGGAATCACAAGCACATGGTGGTTGCCAGACTTCAAAGGGAGGAAGTGAAAGAAGCAAAAAAGTGCAAATTAAATCGTAAATACCTAAGCCTCAGCGTAAGCTGAACCTTAGCTCCCGCTTCCAACCCTGCTCACAAGCAAAACCTACCATTAATCATAAGCCTAAGCCTACGACGAAATAGAAAGAATAAGCTCAACCGGACCGTAAGCCCGAGCGTAATTAGTTCGCCGAAGCCGAAGCCTAAGCTATCCTAATCCCAAGCCTACTTAAGCCAACTCGCAAACCTAAGCCAAAGCCTAAACGTGGGCTCACAACCAAGCTCTAGCCTAAGCTTAAGCCTTAAGCCTAAATGCAAAGCCACCCTAGTAATTCTTCTGAAAATCGAACATGATTCTTGACTTGCAATTTAGGGAATTCCGTGACAACTCTTGGATTCTAATGAGCCGGGGCTAGTGGTGTGCTCGTGGATAATTTGGATGTCTCTTCTTCTTATTCCCACTTCAGCTTCTTCTTTTGACACCTCATGCTCATTCCGCGCGATCTCTGCCCCTCTCCCTCTGCCCCACTCTTTCCCCTATCCCTTCAGAAGCACCTCCCCCTTTTTCAGGGCCTCCAGATGGGCGGCCAGAACTCGGTGCTTTCCCCGCCAGACATGCTCGACCACCACCATCAGTACCCCGATATGAATATGATCTTCAAGGGGATCCCGAAGATGATACAGGTTGGTCGGGTTTTATGATTTTTGACGGTCAGGGGGATATCGGAATATCCGGTTAAAGATAAGCGTACTTGCTTGCTAAACGTAAATTGTATAAAGAAATTCAGCCTCATTTTTTCTGAAAAAATTTTTTAATTGCTTTCAAACAGTTAAATTTTGAAAAGAATCATTTCCATTGCCATCTGAAAGGATTCATGCACACCTTTTTTCCTAAACTCTGCCGACCTGAATCGTCGGTCTAAAAAAGTTCAATGATTTCTAGGGTAGCGAACATAGAGGAGAGAGAGAGAGAGAAAGAGAGAGAGCGCATGAAAGAGAGATAGAAAGACAAAGAGAGCCCCAATTCGTTTTTCCTTAAAAACAAGTAATCTCCATAGAGTGTCGGTGGTGTTCTGCAGTGGCGTAGGCTCGATTTCCGCTCCCTACCCTGGGCTAGAGAAGGGCCCAAGTCCCAAAATTGCTTTGAAATCTCTCTCTCTCTTTCTCTCTCTCCCTCCCTCTCTCTCTCTCTCTCTCTCTCTCTCTCTCTCTCCCTCTCGCTCTCGCCCTCTTTCGTTCCCTCAATCTACGTGTATTTCCCCTAACGGAGCACGTGGTCAAGCCCCGAGGCTAAATTCAGCGACTCCTTAAATTGCTTCTTTACTTTCTCTACGCTTTCTACACCTTGGCACCCTTCTAAAGACTCCCTCCCTTCCTCGGTTTGTGCCTAATGTGCGTGTGGAGATAATTGTGCCGCTATGGGCAGTGTGGGGGGAGCGGAACCCCTTCAAAGGCATCGAAACATTTTCGAGGGGCCAGGGTGGGCCTTGGGGCCCAGCCTCGGGCCCTCGGCTGACCATAGTAGTCGGGCGGAATTTCTAGAGTCGGAAAATTTTGAGAAAATCCCCAGGAAAGTGAATGGAACTGCGGAGGAATTTTTCGTGTTGTGTAGGTCCCTGGATATGCGCCGTCTCGGGTCACTTCCGGGGTTTGGTTGGAGGCTAGGTGTAGCCAAGCGGAATCAGGTATTAATGGTGATGTAAAAATGGAAATTACATATTTTTATTGCGGGTGTAGGCTTAGCTCAGGCTTAGCTTAGGCTTAGCTTAGGCTTAGCTTAGGCTTAGCTTAGGCTTAGCTTAGGCTTAGCTTAGGCTTAGCTTAGGCTTAGCTTAGGCTTAGCTTAGGCTTAGCTAGGCTTAGCTTAGGCTTAGCTTAGGCTTAGCTTAGGCTTAGCTTAGGCTTAGCTTAGGCTTAGCTTAGGCTTAGCTTGGGCTTGGGCTAAGCTTAGGCTTAGCTTAGGCTTAGCTTAGGCTTAGCTTAGGCTTAGCTTAGGCTTAGCTTAGGCTTAGCTTAGGCTTAGCTTAGGCTTAGCTTAGGCTTAGCTTAGGCTTAGCTTAGGCTTAGCTTAGGCTTAGCTTAGGCTTAGCTTAGGCTGAGGCTTCCTCTTCTGAGCAATTCCGCTTCTTCTCCTTCCCTTCAACTTTCTGGACCTTCGGAATATGAAACTCCGCGCGCAACTCTGGACGGCTGGTCCAGATGTGCCCCGAAAGTGTGCATTTGACACGCCAGTCGAGCATATAATGACAACCAGCCAAGAACGGGTGGGGCACCTTTTAGGGGAAATTGGGATGGCAAGCGCTCATCGAAAATGCAGATTCATTCTCGGGGTAGCACATATGGGGGGACCAAATTTGACACTCCAATAATTGGGTTTTGGGGGCATGGAATTGTCAGTGCACTCGGGGGGTTGTTGACGATGAGTAATCAACTATAATAAAAAAGTAGAGGCGTCCGTCTGTCTGTCTGTCTGTCCGTCGTGTCCCGGATTCAACTCGAAGGGGAAAGGAGCTAGAGCTTAGGTCTCTTCGGATTCGGATAGAGCGTGGTCAGAAACCCCCAAACTGCAAAATTACAAAAAGTTTTAGTTTAAATTATTAAAATTAACATTGAAATGGCGCCTTAATAAAACGGGTGGGGCCCTTTCCCGGGAGGCCACGCCCCTTTCCTTTCGCCCTCTTCCCCAGGCCCTTTCCCGCGCCCAAATAGCTTTTAAGTTACTTTAATACTTTTAATACTTTTTAATTATGTTAATTTATTATTTAAATCATTTAAAGTATCGGGATGGAATCTAAGTAGTTTTTGAAGGGGATTTCGGCTATGGGGGGTATCTGAAGCCACCAGGAAGGTATTTAGGTAGTCTTTGAAGGAGATTTCGGCTATGGGGTATCTGAGCCATCCGAAAGGTAGCTATTTTTTGTGGGGGGTTGCTAGAGGAGATATCTGAGCCATCAGTGTAGGTATTGCCGGGAAGGCATCAGCGTAAGGTGGGGATGAAATGTGGTGGTGTAGAATATGGAGGGTGTCGAGTCCAGCCGATTGCAGTCGCGAAGGGGCTGTAATCGGCTGGTTGCAATAGAAAGAATTGAAACCCTTAGGCGAGAGAATATAAGTGATTTGCACCTTAATGATAATCGGTTGCCGTGAAATTTCCGAGCGTGATGGGTATGAAGCAAAGTTTTTCCTCAAAGTAAAGAAATAATCACAAAATTGGAAAATCAGCAAACATCTATGCGATGCTGGTTCAGGTGGCCGATGACATGCACCGGATGACAAACTACATCATGGACCTGCGGAATATGACAGCGGTCCTCATGGTGATCTCGGCCATCGGGTGTGTTGGGTATGCTAGACCGTTTTCTCGCGAAAAAAGATTTTTTTAGATTCCTGATCATGCGAGCAGCCAGTCGGAAGGGGTCGAAGCGGCGCAGGAGGAGCTCAAGACTGGTTAGTTTTAGAAAAAAAAACCCGCTGGAAAATGAAGATAAACCTTCAAAAACGTAATTAAAGTGGGCTAGAAAGGTCGGAATTGGCCCCTTCGGTCGGTTAGCTCTCGACAACGGTTGGCAGTCGTCTGATCGAAAAACACCTGTTTGAAAATCGTCTGATCGAAAAATTGCCTGATCGAAAATAGCCTGATCGAAAAATCGCCTGATCGAAAACCGTCTGATCGAAAATCTCCTGATCGAAAAATCGCCTGATCGAAAATCGTCTGATCGAAAATAACTCAAAAATTTTAGGGGGTTTCTAGGCTTTTAACATGTGTTAAAACTACTTTTTGAGTTATTATCAACTAGAGAATTTTCGATCAGACGATTTTCGATCAGGCGATTGTTCGATCAGGTGACTGGGAATCCTCGACAACTACGCTAGAAATCAAAAAAACACGTTGAAAAAAGGGAAATGAGGTTTCAACAATTTAAATCATCATTTTTGATTTAGGTTTTCTTTTGGCAGGTTACCTAGTCAACAAAAGAATATCTGGATGTTGGCACTTCCTAGTCCCTTTAAACGGGTTTTTTGCAAAAATTCGCTCTGGCTCTGCTTGCTCGATCTACCCTTGTTATTTTGCGCCATCTTCCGCGGAACATCCCCTGCACTCTACTCGATAAAAAAACCCTTTCAACTTGTTGCCGACCTGGCACGAGTTCAGCTCGTTCAGCGCACATCCGAAAAATTCATGACCACCGCTTTTGCCGCTCGACGAAACAATGCGTGCTACATGTTTTTGGTGGGGGCTGATGGGCTGCTCGGGGCCACATCAAAAAACCTCGGCTCGGCCAAACGAAGCATCTAATCCATTTTTGCCGCCCGGGGACGCGTTTCGGCAGCAGGGGCGGGCGGTGTCTGACGTGGATTTGGGGGTGTTGCAAATTGATAAACTCGTTTTGGAAAACAGGGAAATTTGATTTTGAGCGTAGATAAGTCTAGAAGGAGTGCTACGTCGTCTTACGACTTTTAGGGGGCCACGACAGCTAATTTTTCAGGATTTCTTGGCAACGAGATAATTCCGAGCTTTTGAGCATTTGAATTTTCTTTTTGTTTAGGTCTAGAAATGTTTGTTAAAGGTATTTTAAAAGCCGGGGTACCGACCGTATCGTTAAGTTTTAAGAGACGTGGACAGTCAACTCCGCGAAGATATGCTTTTCCATAAGAAATTGAGGTCATTAAAATCTCTGTAAATCAGCATATAGAGTACCAAGAAGCCTCAAAAATTCCCCAAAAAACCAGGAGAAAGTCCAAAAAATTAGGGTACATTTTTAAGTACGCGCCACCACGAAAGAACGGCTTCCAGGTTTGCGTAGCCATGCGGATGCAGTGAGCATGCAAAATTAGACACCCCTGAAAAATCCTAAAAATCTTGAAGATGAACGTTAATGAAATCGAACATGAAGAGCGTTTATACAAACTTAATATGCACTATAATTACTATTGGTTTTGCAGGAAGGCGGATTCCCTTACGTTGCCGCAGCACCGCCTGGACCGTACCCTCACTATTACCCATACCCCGGCTACCCACCGGTTGATGGAACTTGGGAAAGGCCGAAGAGCACATTTTCGCAGCATAATGAGGTGGGAATTGTAGTTTTAAGCTTTGCAATTGTTGCAACACAAAAAATGATACTTTGAAACGGCTACGAATATCTAAAATCTAATAAAAATCGAATATCTATTAACAAACCTTTAATATGAATTTGTATAGCTGTTTTTCACATAATAGGGTCTCCCAAGACTAGAAAATGATCTATTTTGTCCGCTATATGCAGAAAACAATTATTATCACTCTTAGATGGAAGAGAAAAAGCCGCTCGACAGCCGAAATTCGCCAGAAACCGCGAAGCTGAACGGGCATGCCGGTGGTAGCACCTATAAGGTACAGCAGGTAATTTCAGTAGGCTAACCGGCAGTGAGAGGTGATATGATTGACCTTTTTTGTGTATAGCAATGATGATGGTTTAATTTGAAGCTTAAACCTTGAAAATTCTACTTAACAAAATTCGCCGCGGGATTTATTGGCATTTTTTCCTATAGAAAACAATAACAATTTTCACTACTAAATAATTTTCATCAAATTTTTAGAGTCGATTTTCTATTTCCTATTTAACGCTTTTCCAAAACCCCACTGCACCCCTATTTTTCTATTTTGATTATATTATTATTTATTTTTATTCTGCATTTAATGACGATCTCCCCAAGTGGGTCCATTTTCAGAGCTTCTCGCAGGAGGACTCGATCCTCCCGATGGACAGCGAGAAGAAGTTGCCGGCGCTGATGAGCAGCTCGGTGCCGTCGGACGTGCCAGCCTACCGGGCCCCCGCCGGCGCACACAAAGTCTGAATTTCGAAACGAATTTCAGGAAAATTTCAACGGTTTCTGAGGAGCTTCTACTATTTTTTTGAATTCTCGGGGCTTGCGGGGGTTTGGGCATTGACTGGAAATTTTTTCTTTAAACTACAAACTTCAAGGAACTCATGTAATCAAAAAACATAAGCCTAACAAGCCGAAGCCGAGGCTTAATAAAAAAGCGACCAAAAACCTTTTTGAGTTATCAGCTTTTTTCTTAAATTGTTTCTACCTTTTCAGGAGGTCAGGATCAAGGTGGAACGTGTCAAATAATGTTGGTATCAACCTAGAAAATAACCCCTAATGAACCTAGAAAATTATTATTCTAAAACCCCCTTAGAATCAAACACCAAACCCTAGCAAGTCCCAGCCCACCAAAAAATTACCTCCTACTTTCCGAATCACACCTATTTTTCGAATCCTCTTCCTCCTCACTTCTGTGTTTATCGGTTTTTTTTGCTTTAATTATATATTTTTCTACCCCACCCAAATCGATCCATTTTTCTAGTTTAGTGGCGGACCAGCATACCCCGAACCTCAATTAGGTAAATCCGGTGAAGAGAACGGTGATTGCGTATTTGCATTCAAATCCTGGGGGAGAACAGGGGAGCTTGAAGACGATTTTCTGATCAAAAAACGGTAAATTACGTTATTTAGCATTCCTTAAATGCCCTAAAACTGTCTTGGCAATACCTATTTTCGAGTCCTAATCGATTTTCCGACTAAATTAAACTCAAAGGCAACTTCTCACTACCGTACCCTCAGAAAATCGTCACCCAGCCTCCCTGATAACCCCCGGGACACCCGAGCTTTCATTTCCCTCAGCTACAGTAGACTTCAAATTCCGAAAAAAAAAGAAAAACAGAGGCGAGCAGCATGGGCCCGCCTGGCTGGAAATTCTATCCTTTTTTCACCTCGGCCTTTCGAGACATTGATTCGACGAAAACACAACGCACACCTCTGCAGGGCGATGGGGTGTGAATTTGGTGGTGGGAAATTGGAATTTATTCGATTTAAAAACCGCACCATTTGCATAGGCGTTTAGAAAATAGAAATTTTATTTAGTATGAAACTACGAACTAAAAAAATTAGGAAATTTAAAAATTCTTTTTAGAAATATAAATTTGCCTTTAAATGGTGAAAATGGAATACAAGCCTAGCGATTTTATAAATTGCGAAAAGAGATTATAAAATGTTATAAAATTTCAACCATTAGAAAAATGGAACAAGGATTTTTATGATAAAAAGAGGTTATGGTTCCGTATATTTAAAATTCTAACTTTGCGGCATGCATTTATCAATTAAAACCCTTTGAAATCCTGCGAAATCTTATGCTAATCCAATTTTTCAAAACGATTTGTACTATCTAAATCACAATTTCCAATTTCCCACCCCTCGCACCCCACCCCTTTTTTCTTACTTTGTAGCCGTGTCGTCTTGCCAGTTTTGCATCTCGGGTAGTCGGCACACCGTAACTCCTAATTTTTTCTAGCATTTTTTTTCTGGAAATCGGCTCTTTCAGCGCCCCTTCGAACCCGTGAAACTAATCGTCGAAGATCTTCCATATGCAGACAGCCACTGAGCGTGGTCCCGACGAGAATTTGAATTTTTCCGGGATTTTTGCAACTTGAATTTTTGGGAATTATGCCATTTTTTTCGGCTCTAACAAAGCTTTTGCTTGTCATATTTTTTTAGTTCGGCTTCTCGTCAGTGTCGGCTAATAACCAGAAAGAATTTTCGATTTTTTAAAAGTTCACTCACCTTTTTGGCTCTTATTTTTTAAATTTAAAATTCAAATTTTAAACAACCTAATCGACTCAATCTGACTGTAATTAAATTAAACCTAAAAGACAAATAAGGTTTTCCATGCTAATTCCCAAGTCCAAATACCCAGGTGCCTTCAGAAATTTTTGCTCACGATTCCTTACCGTACCCCCTCCCTAATTAATGCAATTTTTCGGCTACAGTACCCCTAAGCTCCATTTTTATGGGCTCAAAATGCCGCTAAGCTACGCCAGAGTCACTATTTACATACTGCTTTAACAACCGCCAAGCTTTGGTCTCCAAAAACCCCGATTTTGTCCGATTTTTGTCTTCTCCCGGTGCGGGTGTGCCCTCTCACAGCAATTAACTGACATTATTCGCTTTAATTGTATTGTAAATTCAGTTCTCCTAAAAAGTGCTGTCCTCGTACCGTACCCTGGTCACTAAAATCTACAGTAATCCGCTTTTTTTAATCCTCTTTTGTTGCCAAAAACCCCCTCTAATATGCCAATTGCGTGTGTCTGTTTCAAATGTTTTTGGTTGGTCCCGTGGCCATTTTTGAATGTTTTTTTTGCGTACTGTAAGTGTAAATATGGATTTCTCTTTGATGAATAAATCGTAGAAAAATTTTTTGGGGCAAAATGCATAAAATGACTAGAAAAACATGAGCAGGGTATCGAGGATCCAGATGAAAACGTTATCGCTAATCACGTAGTTGCATACGATGGCTGGGACCAATTTTTTGCATAGGCGACGGGATTTCTGGAATCAGGAATGTTGCAGGATCGTGGCAGTAAGTAATCCTAGAAGCCCCTTAGCCTAAGCCTAAGCCTAAGCCTAAGCCGAAGCCTATATACCGTAACAAACAGCGCGTAATTGATTGAGTAATGAACGAACGGCGTTGCGTTTCTCATCTTATTGGAGCCTATACCGACCACGTCTGCTCATCGCTTTCAGGTAAAATTTTTTTGCAGTCCCACTGGAACCCAGTAAAACCTGGCTTACCCTGACCACGGGTGAATCCTCGTCCTCATCATCGTAATCTCGCCTCCGCTTCCTTCGTTTTGCGGAAATTTCACTGGCCGCATCTTCGTCCGATAGTTCCGCGCCGGGATTTATTAGTGGCGGTCTCTGAAAAAGTTGCTTAATTAAATCTAAGCCTTGCAAGCGCAAGTTTCTGAATCATCCGTTTTCCGCAGAGCCATAAACTGGCAGGATCGCTTGGAAGCTTTAGAATTAAAAACAACACATATACCCACCTCAAGGTCTTCCTTCTTGAACCGTTCCAACTCCGAAATTGGCCTCCCTTCGCTTGGGATGCTAATCTTCTCCTCATACTTCTGGCTATCCTTTGGACTAGTAGGCTCGGGCCATGGCCGCTTCCCATTATCCGCTGCCGGCCCACACGCATCGGTTGTTTTATAAAAAACAGCAACAATTAGCACAAAGTCAACCCGCATCTGGTGGCATAGAAAGAGAAATAGCAATATTGAGGGCCGCCAGTTGAGGCTGGCGCTCTCGCGATTTCATCTCTTTCTTGGTCGAGGGGACACATCCGTGGAAAACAGGTTTTACGCGTTGTCCGACATCGATTTTCTGGGGGTTTTCGCAACTAGAGAATTAGTACGTTCTAGTGTAATAGCTTTCCAAATTTATTAAACCCTAGAGCCAAACTAATACGCTGAAAAAACAACCTTTAATTGGCATTTTCAATCGAGTTTTATTGTATTCTTTGGAACGGACCGGAAAATAGAGTCTGCACATTTTTAATCCAGATTATGTTCAATCGGTCAGAAACAAATTTTAAACTATTTTTATCTATGTCTTATGAAAAATTAAGAAATGCGAGCTAAAGTTAGTTAGAATACTTACAATTTATTCAAATTCACTGCAAGTACGCAAAAATACATACAAATGACGATCAAGGGAAACCACACAACATTTTCGTTTATGAAAATTTTTTTAGTTATTTACTGTGCTCCTTTGCAAAAGCATCCAGACACTCTGGGCTGCAAAACGCGTAGTTTTCCTTTTTCGGGAATTGCCCCTTCTGCTGCTCGACCATGCCGCAATTTGAGCACAACTCGTAGCCGGCCAGCTTTTTCTTCTCGACAAATCGATCGCCAAAAATGATGTTGGAGCCTGAAATAAAGCGATAAATTTGAGTTGTAAAGGAATTCCGTTTTTTTTAATCGGGAACTTTACCGAAACGCAATTTAACGAAATTTTCGAACTCGACACCTACCCTGCGGCTTCCATTGTTGCAAAATGTACCGATCAAAATCGAGTAGTACCCAAGTTCGATTTCCTAAAAAAAGCCGTTTAGGAAGCATGTCGTAAAAAAATCAACAAAAGAATATACGAAATTTCCTCATCGGCAACTACCTTTATAAAACTCCTGAAACAACACCACCCGATCATCCGGCTGCCATTCCGGGTCCGTTTCGAAACTAGAATTTAGCTTTTTTACGTTTCTTTATATTTTTTTACCGTATTCCCTTTTTCTTCTCCCGCTCTGCTGCCCATCTTTGTTGCAAAATCCCAAGAATGTTCAGGAAAACAAAATATGCAAATTTCTGGCCGTTCGCCAGGCGATAGGTGATCGAATTCGGGGCCCCGAAAATTCGTTGTAATGACGTGGAAATCTAAGAAAAAATTTTCAGATGGCAATGCGGTAAAAATACCTGTGATTCTGTGAAAATATTCTTATTTGACGCATTTGCCGTGCAGAGGCCGACGAGGACTTTGCTAATATTAGGGAAGCCATGGATGGAGTCGAGGTCGAGGATAAACTGTAAAATTTTGCTTAGAAAGCCGCCTTTAAATCGGGGATTTTAAACTCGCTGTAAAGAGTAGTAAAGCGTAATTATAACGTGCATTGATTTCACCTGTTTTGCTGCATTTGCATCCGATTTTTCTTCGGCTAAAAATCGATGGATTGCAATGAAGGCGTCATCAACGTGGAAAAGGGTTTCATCGTCTAAAAAAACCCGTTTAAAGGGATGGTTACAGCGGGAATAGTTCGGAATTAGCCTTTTTGGGAACTATTTATTAAAATAATATTAACTAAAACAGTTTTATGGAGCTTGCCTGAGCCAACGTAATTCACCACATAGCCTCGAACCGATATGACGAGCCGAGACCACCATAGTCGGGGAAGAGATTTGTGCATCTGAAAATCAGAACAAAATGGCGTAAAATTACACCATTAAATACCATTAAATACCTACAAAAATAAGTATCGTAAAAAGTATCACACCATTAAATACCTGCTCAAAAACCTCCAAATTTATCCTTGTCCCGCTTGGCTCGGCATTTAAAAGCTTGCAATTTGGAAACAGCTCCGTGTCCTCCATTGACACTGGGAGGCTCATTTTCTAAAATATGACAATCAGAAGCTTTCGAATTATCGAATAATGCTAAAAAAGATAGATTAAAATAGTATAAAAGGAGATGCAACCCGAAAAACTGAGCATAACCTCGTGGGGGCGCGTAAAAGGGTGTGGCGTAGTGATTGGAAAGGGAGTAGGCTGCTACTCCCACGCGGCAACAGTGAGATGGATAGTGACAGGGAGGGAGAGAGAGAGCGAGAGCGAGAGAGAGAGAGAGAGAGAGAGAGAGATAGAGAGGGTCGTAAACCCTAAGAAAACGGTACACGTCCCTCGGCAAACAAATGCAAAATGGCCGTTACTTGCCGTGTCTAATACGCCCCCGGAAATGGCTGGTGTGCAGGTGGGCTTGAGCGTAAAACGAGGGCCAGTTTCATGTAAATTTTTGATTGTGAAAAGCTTTTATCAAAAACACGAAACGTCGTGTCAAAAAAATAGAAAAATTTGTCAGCCGAACGCTCCCATCGCTCAAAAATCAATAAGGAAAGGCTTGGGAAGCATCCAAGAATGCAGAATTTTCATACAAAAAAAAACACAGAAAATTCCCTTCAATCCACCCATCAATCAAGCAACATCTTGTCGATGTCGGACTGGGAAGGGAAAGAGCTCGTTTCGGCCATCAAATCGGCGACATGGCAAAGAACATTCGGGGGAAAAGAGGGTTAGGAAAAGAGCCAGATAAGGGGAAATGCGTTCAGATGCTGGCTCAAATAGGGGGGGAGACAGCTGGACGCCCTCAATAAGGCATGGATCCAGTTTTTCGACAAGGCGTGTACCCTAACAGAATATACCGATTCGGAGGAGGCAACTGGCATTAACTATGCCTTCAGATCGGTTTAAAAGGGACAGGGAAGCCAGGAAATGAGTTGAGAAAAAAACAATTAAAAAATTAAAGCCTAAGCAATAGCCTAAACCAAAGCTAAGTCAAACCTAAGCCGAATATCCCTATGCCTAAGCCTAACATAAGCATAAGCCTAAGTTTCAGCCTACGCTGCTTAAGCCTAAGCCTAAGCCCAACCCTAAATCTAAGCCGGCAAAATCGATAGGATGTACCGCTCTTTTTTGTCTATGTAAACAGCAAAGGAATTCGGACTGTCGCGGAAAATCCCCTGCAAAAAAAAGAAGTGATAAGGTTTTCTGGTCTTCACAGCTTTCTCGCGTCTACAAAACTACAAAAATCATAATAATAAAATACGAAATATGAGACAAATTCAATTCCAGAAAGACCGCCAAATCTTCAAAACCGTTCCGCTGCAATGGCCTCCAATGGGTTGCGCTGCGCTATACAGCAAAACAAATCCTTTCAGCAAATTTACGGGGGTTGAAAAGGAGCAGGTATCCACTACGTGCTCGCCGCAGTTTTTGTGATCCTCTTGAAATTTCCACTATTCCCTTGCAGATCGCCCGATGCGATCAGCGTGTGTGTATCTTTCGGCATGTGATCCCCGTAAATAGGGAAGAGTGGAGAAGCAGAGAAATTGGGCAAGGGCTCGGAAACGGTTAAGCTTTTAAGTGTACGCGCGCCTACATATGAGTAGACGCCGCTAAAAATTTGTAGTCTAATTAACAAAGTAGGAAAAAAGACAAAAAGACTTCACAGGTTGGTTTTCGAGGAAATTCGCCGTATTTTGCAAGGTGAGAAAATAGTTCTTATTAAATCTGAGTGGGCTTAGTGAGTCTTTTATTGATCTGAAAATGCATTTAATTTTGCACAACGTAAATTATTCACAAAACAAACGAGAAACTATTTTATTTTTGAAAACAATAAAATCCTAGTACATCCCAAAAGTCGGGCTTCGCAAAACAGCCACGGTCACCTCAGGATGTGGAGCGAAAAATTACATAAAAATGGATTCGAAAATTGTTATAAGTTAATCCGCAAAAATAGCTGCATTTCCTAAACACAAACGACTAAATTTTCTAAAGGTGTCTCCAACCCCAGGTTCCAAATCCAAAAATCCCCTCTCGCACGTTGCGGCAAAATTTATGCTGATCGAATCCATGGAGCCGTGGAAGAAAAACAGCTTTTTCTCGCACGGCCACCATCTGCAAGCCGCGAATTTGCAATGGCAATAAAGCGGGTGGCCGTTATTTGTTTCCGTTCACCCTCTCCGGGCATTATCGGGATTTACGAGTCGATGGCCGACGGCTTTTCCCATGCCCAACGTTCGCCCGTCCACCACGATCTCCACATCTTCTTCTTCATCTTGGCTCTCATCTGACTTGCCAACCCAATTTCCCTCCGGCTCGCTCGGCCATAAAGTAGAATTGGGCCCCTGGTGGTGGATTTTTGTTTAGTGGCTTGGGTGCCCGTTTGCCCACTAATATATCGGCATTTGAAAATATTTATGGGATTTATGTGGCATGAATAATTCATAGTTTTTGTTGTTTACTATAGAAAAAAATCTGGGGTTGTACCTTAATTGCAAGGCTTTTGCGTGGAACCGAAAATTTTTTCGAAATCGAAGCGGTGGTTTTCGTTTTTTGACAATTATTTTAAAAGATTAAAACGCTTCTGATTTTTCTATTAATTTTAGCAAATTGCAAGTAATTTTTCTTGCTGTGCTGGAGCCTATCCACTGGCTTCGAAATTAGCCAAATCTGCAGGTTTCAGCTTTTCTCTACTTTCGCGATTTCCAGAAACCCCCCAAAGTAATTTGCTTAATCAAGTAAAACATTTACTTTTGCTTTAGTGTCCATTAACCCTTAAATTTGCATTTTGTAGCCAAAAATCTCGATTTGTCGCAAAATCCAATTTTCAGGTCCACCCGGTGCAGGGCAATTAGCGAGAGCTGTGTTGATAGCAACGGATTCGCCAAGATCCGCCAAAAACATTTTATTAAGTGGATTCGGAGGTGAAAAGCTGTTTTTTTCTGAAAATCGGAGCAGCTACCGTAATTCGACAATTTTGAATGGTGTTCGACCTCATCTCCTCGCCATGGATGTACGCAAGGGATCGAAGGAGGTGAGTTAAGCCTCAGCCTAAGCCTAAGCCTAAGCCTAAAACCTAAGCCACAGCCTAAGCCTAAGCCTAAGCCAAAGTCGATGCCTAAGCCTAAACCTAGGCCTAAGCCCAAGCCCAAGCCTAAGCCCAAGCCTTGGCCAAACCTTTCTGTGATTTTTGCCCAACTTTTTGACCCCAAACCACCCCCACTAAAAATTCCGACGCCGTTAAGCCGTGGAAACACGTGCACAATGGCGGACGGACAAATTTTTGAATAATTTATCGACAGCCCAACAAGGGCAGCCCATCTCATCGCGTGATGCGTGGCACTTTTGGTCTAACGGCCGGCCAGCAGCGATGTTTTTGACTAGTTGATGCATTTGGTGGTATCAAAAATCTTCTAGAAATTTGCAGAAAAGAGCTAAAGGAACCTGTGATAACTCTTAAGCCGCTCAAGCTGTTTTCCATCTTGTCCTTAATTTTTTAGAGATATTCAGTCGTTTTAATTTTTCTGACTTTTATAATAGCTTTGAAATCTTACTTATGAATTTTTGAATTGTTTGAATTGAATTGAATTTGAATTGAGAAATCCACAAAAAATCGGGTGTCTTTCTGTAGTAGCTAGGGAAGTCTGGAATGCGCCTGGTTCATTTTTAGACGGTTTTAAAGTGTATAAAACATTGCCAGCAAATTTTTGTCAACCTGTTATAGTTCAGAAAATCCCCTTTAAATTTGGCTAGACGTTAGTCCGGATTTAGACGCTAATAGAGTTGCGCATTTTGGCATTTTTCGAGTTAATCATGTCTCCAATTTCCTCAAAAAAACCCACGTCCACCGGCAGACCAAACCCCTGATTCAGCTATTTGAGGAGAAGCTTCCAATGAATGGCCTGGGTCGGGGAAATTTTCGTTTCTTTTTCCCCCTCCTTCCTTTTGACCAAACATGTGATGCTCCGTTTCGCTTTTAATTTTTCTGGGCTCAAAACCCCTAAAAACTCCGAATTTCGACTATCTGCGTCTGGTGTTCGATCGCGCATTTCGAAGATCACCCACCCAAAAATGGGCCCTTTCTCTATTTACCCACCATTTAAAGAGCTCTGAATTCGAGGTCTTTACGTGATTTTTCGCAATTTTGAATGCGAACCGTGCAGAACGTCTGATTTTTCAATATCTGGATTTTTGTGATTATTTTTTACATTGAACGTTTGATCTCCAGCGCCTCATCATGTTTCCTGCAAAATTTGCTTTCGGTCGCTTTGATGGCCTTTAAATTTTATGGGTATGTTGGACGTAACTTTTGAAAGTTTTACGATTTTTGGGGGGATTGTTTTTCGGATTCCCTCGAAAAATGGATGCTACAATTTTTGCATCGAATTGGACGTAAAATTGTATTGCCCCGGCATTCGGCTAGAATGTTTCGACTTGTTCAATCAAAAAGGCGAGTTATTTTGAGTAAATATTTATATGACTATCGTTTAATGGTTAAGATAGTCTAATTTAATTCATAGAAATTTAAAATAGATAATTTTAATGAATATTTCTGTGGATTTACAAGATTTACAACTGGAAAATGACACTGTGGTTCGTAGCGGGCTGCGTTTTTGGATTTAAGAATATTTTTTGGCTAATAAATCAACCAGCGTTTTTCCTGACTTTATAACTTTAAAAAATAATCATAAATTTGATCTAGCTTTATACTAGAAACCAAAAATCTGACAAGCCCAACCGTAAATCGTATAATTCGGAATTTTCGGAGACCTCGACCAAATTTTGGCATCTTGAAAACCCGCCTGAAAGGTAGTGCGAATTCGATTTGTGACCGGGGCTCCTTTGAGCCGTGGAATTGGAGGCGGGAGGTCGAATAGAAGTGGATGGCGGGGGGGTGAAGTGGGGGTATCGGGGGAAGCATTTGGCATGCAGAGCCGACCAACCACCCCAACCCTACTTATTCAACCTCCCATACTCGCATTCTGATAATCCATCGACCAACGCCAGTGTCGATTTCATTTGTGAGGTTCAAACCGTCTACTCTTTCACATTTT